ATCCCAGGACCCTGGGATCATGACCTGAGCCGAAGGCAGATGCTTAATCATCTGAGCCACCCAGGCACCCTCAAATAAATAAATAAAATCTTAAAAAAAAAAAAAAAAGAAGTGTTGCCAAGAATTTTCTAGAAATGAGGGCTATTAGAAACCAATGGCCTCATTAGAATGCAAGTTTCCTGGAGGGCAGGGACTTTGCTTTGTTCTGTAAATCCTGGAGCCTGGAACAATGCCTGGCAGGTAGCTGACTGGTCTGCACTGATTGATTGGAAAGAATGAATAGATAAACCACAAGATTTTTCTGGTAAACATGATAATATCCCTAGGCTGCCCCGAAAGGGCTGGAATCAAGTTACAAACTGCAATCTTAGCCCAATTTTATGGACCACTTTCCATGGGCAGACGCTTTAAGTGCAGGATTTCATTTAATCCTGACATCGGACTTCCAGGTTATTGTCAGTTTCATCTCCATTTTGTCCACATAGACACTACGGCACAGAGAGGGTCATAGCTTTCCCAAGTCACACAGCTAGTAACAGCAGATCTGGGATTCCAACTACGGTGCTTTGCAGCCAGAGCCCATGCTCCTGACACCCCCCCCTCCCGCCTCGCCACATGCCACATGTCCTGTCACAGAGGGGCACATTTGTGCCCCAGGAATTTGGGGGATAAGGGTGCCAAGGTCTGAAAACTTCCCTGAGCACATCCAGAGCCTGTCAATTCAGGAACCCCAGAAAGCAATGCTTGTGTGATCTGATTCCTTCTTATCTAACATGGGGGAGCAGAGGCCCCTAGTGGGGACTGACTTGCCCCATAGGACAACACAGAGCCTTCAGTGACCACGGGTTCCTGGCTCCCAGTCCAGGCTTGCTTCTCATTCTAACTGCTGCCCTAAGAGCCCCCGACTTGACCAGAACAGACCCCACACACCGACAACCCCGGGGCCGAGGAGGCTGGGTCAGAGCTGATCTGGCTCTTTCCTCTGTCCCAGTGTTGAGTTTGTGGTCCTTCCGCGTGCTGATTCAGCTTCCTGACTTCCCCTTCCCTGCCCTCAAGCAACTGGAAAGATCCAAATGGTATTCTTTCTCCTCCTGTGGTAAGCTGAATAATGCACCGCCCCTCCCCCCAAGGATGTCCGCATCCGAATACCCAGAACCCTTGACTATGTTCCATTATGAGGTAACAAGGATTTGGCAGATGTGGTTAATTTAAGGATCTTGAGATGGGGAGATTATCCCGGATTATCCTCGTAGGCCTAATGTAATTACCGAAATCCTTCTAAGAGGGAGGCTGCAGGGTGACAGATACAGAACGGGACATGACAAGAGAAACAGGACTCCAAGACTGGAAGATGCTAGTGTTGAACAATGGAGTCGGGGGCCATGAGCCAAGGAGAGCAGACAGCTTCTAGAAGTTGGAAAATGTGAGGAAGTGGATTCTCCCCTAAAACTCCAGAAGAAGCACCCCTGCTGACCTGTTTCAGGACTTCCAACCTCCGGATCTCCGGAGAATACACATGTGTCGTTTTAAGCCGCTATGTTTGTGAGAATTTTTACAACAGCAACAATAAAGGAGGATGGGCCCCCTCGAGGCCTGCCTTCCTCATATGGGGAACAGAGCCTCAGCTTTGGGAAGCAGGACACAGATGGATAGACCCTGGGAGTTCCTCCTCACCTGCTCCCTTCTGTCACCTCCCAGCATGACGTGGGGCATTCCACCATGAGAGCTTGATTCCCTCGGAGGACCCACCCCCTCTTCTCCACACCTGCCTCCCGGGGGTCAAATGCTTGAGTGGCTAGAATGGGCCCGTTTCATACGAGTGCTAGAGATACAAAGCTGAAGAGGTTGGAAGCCCACCTTGACAGAGTCTGTGTGCTCAGGATCCTAATAGAAGGAGTCTGGGACCAAGGGATAATGATCTGGAACGGGGGCAGGGGGCACAAATGTGGATAGAAACCGGGAAGGAATCCAGAGGTCTGCTGTCAGCCAGGCATTCTTCCCAGCATGGTCTCATTTCATCCTCACCAAACCCAGGAGGTGGGAGTTCCTCTGTGGTGGGCAGAATCACAGCCCCGCCCCCCCTGGAGATGCCCATGCCCTAATACCTGGAACCTGGAACTAGGTTATGTGACTGGTTGAATACGCTCATTGCCCTCTGCATCTGTCATGAAGATTGCAGACTTCAAAGTGGGGGAAATCCTGCTGGATTCTCTAGGTGGGCCCAACCTATTCACAGGAGTCCTAAAGGTTGAGAGCTTTCCGTGCTGAGAGGCAGAGGAAACAGGGCAGGAGAAGTCTGATGTAGGGTCAGGAGGACTCAGGAATTGCAGTGTTCAATCAGGGTCAGGTCAGGGTGGACTCACAGGCTAGGAGGTGTGGGAAGAAAGTTGTTCCAGGCAGCCAGGGAGAGGCAGGACCGAGGCCCGCAGGTGGGACAAACCCGGCCGCAGAGAGAGGGAGGTCTCACTTGAGATGGATCGCTGTGGTTGCTGAGGGGCAGAAGGCTGCCCATCACCATAATCCAGGGCTCGGACAGGACAGGCTGAGAAGCAGCCTAGGACCTCCGCGTTCTAAAGGCAGAGCCATCAAGAATGTCAGAAGAATAGGAAGTGGGAGTGAGGATGGAGAGGAGTCCCAGAGAACTTGGAATTGCCAGTTTACTGCCACGGGGGATGCTCAGCGGTGCAGTCTGGGACAAACGGCCTTTGAGATGCCTGGGACAGGGCTTTGCAAACAACGTGCAAAGACCAGAGATAAACTGGAGGCTTCTGCTCTTTTCTGGAAGCTTCTCTTCTTCCAGACTGCTGTGAAAGCTGCCCTTTCACCGAGACGGCTCAGAGGGAGGCTGAGGAAGTCGCCGGTGACTCAGCAAAATCCGCCTTCCTTCCCTTTTGTCTCTGCGAGCCCCCCTCCCAACCGTGACTCAGCAGAAACGCAGTTGCTTGAGGGGAATGTGGAAATCTGGACTCAGCACTCGGCTGGCACCGCCCATCGCTTGCCTGAAAAACAGAAGTGGTTTTGGACGGAGGACGGGCGCTGCCATCTCCCAAGTCTCTGATGGTGAAAAACAGAGGTGAGACCCCAGCTGAGGCTGGGGGACACGGGGAGGCTGGCCTGGGCTGGATGGTGTTCAGGGATTGCTAGGTGGGATACTGCCCGATTCCCAAATCACCAATAAAGCCAATTTGATCTTGAAATGTACTCAGTTGAATCTTGTTTTTTAACAGTAATAAAAGAGCTCCCAAGGGGCGCCTGGGTGGCTCAGTCAGTTAAATGTCTGCCTTCTGCTCAGGTCGTGATCCCAGGGTCCTGGGATCGAGCCCCGCACTGGGCTCCCTGACCAGTGGGGAGTCTGCTTCTCCCTCTCCCTCTGCCTGCCGCTCTGCCTACTTGTGCTCGCTCTCTCTGTGTCAAATAAATAAAATCTTAAAAAAAAAAAAAAAAAAAAAAGAGCTCCCAAAAGCAGTAGGACGAATAGTCACCAGGAAATGTTAACATTTAATTCGGGGAGCTTATCATCAGCCTCCTGCAAGGGCTGGGGAGCGAATAGCAGCTTCCAACCTGCCAGTGGAACACCTTTGGCTCCTTACCTCCTTCACTCCTCCGGCCCTGGGTTTTGCAGATAAGGTGACTGTGACCACATCACCCCTTTCTGGTCAACACCCTTCACTAGCTCCCACTGCCCTTGGCATAACATGCAAGCTCCTTTGCCTGGCACACCTGGCCCTCCGCCCTGGGCCCTGGCCACCTGTCCAGCAGGAGGGCCTCACCCCACCTGCTCCCTCACACCTTGCATGCCACTCTCAGAAATACCCCCTCCCAACTATCCAGGCACACACCCCTCTGGCCCTTTGCTCAGGGTGGTCCCTCCCACCTAGAATACACATCCCCCTCT